CTGTGAAGGATGGTTCCTGAAAAGGAAAGTTCCTGTGAAGGATGGTTCCTGAAAAGGAAAGTTCCTGTGAAGGATGGTTCCTGAAAAGGAAAGTTCCTGTGAAGGACGGTTCATTGAAGCCGCAAAACGTTATCACGAACTTGAAGGCTATGCTTGGGAGCCGCTGTTATCAAGGATGGAACAAATCGAAACGATAGATCCTCGACAGCTGGCGCTGGAGCTATGTGAGGCTCTGCAAGGAGCTCTACGGCATCAAACTGAAGAATGCCAAGAGCTGGAAAGAGAACTGGCTGTGGAGCGACGGCAAGGCATCCATACCATGTTTTTTTTATGCAAATCAAAGCTTGATAGACAAACGGATTGAAACCACATGTTTTGAAGCATGATTTGCAGGTGAAGTTTTGGAGGAGCGATTGCATGGACTGCATGCCGAGCTTCGTCGGGCAAACTTAGAGGTCCGAGTGTCGCGAGTTAGAAATGAGTTGAACGAGGCTGAGTTCTCAGAAGAGATAGAGAGGTTGCGCCAAGTAGCTCGAGACGAGCGCTACGAGTGTGATCGGCAAAGAGCACGTGCAGAACGCTATAGGCGGCAGGCACAGGGAGCTCCAAACTTCGTCTCACCAAATAATACCAGGTGAAAAGAATTGCTGCCTAGGGGCAGTTGGAAAACCAGATACTTAAAACCTAGAAACTGTCGATAAAACAAAACTCGCTCTAGGAAAATTCCTCTAAAGAATAATTCCTGGAAAGGACGCTTCCTGACAAGGAAAGTTTCCGCAAAGGATACTTCCTGTAAAGGATAGTTCCTGATAAGGAAAGTTCCTGTCAAGAATGTTTCCTGTAAAGGAGAGTTCGTGGAAACGAAAATTCCTGTAAAGGATAGTTCCTGGAAAGGAAACTTACGGTACTGGCAGATTCTTGAAGGAAAATAAAAAGTCCTCTATAGAAGGATAGTTCCTGGGAAGGAAACTTCCCTTACTGAGAGATTCTTGAAAGAAAAGGACAATTCATATAAGGGATAGTTCCTGGGAAGGAAACTTCCCTTACTGAGAGATTCTGGAAAGAAAAGAAAGTTCCTGAGGAAGGAGACTTTCTCAGAAGGAAACTAAACTTCCTGAGGAAGATACTTCCTGGAATGAAAATTTTCAGCAAAGGTAACCTCTTGAAAATGATGCTTCCTATGAACGAAAATGTCTAGACGGAACCCAGTTCAGTTCAATTTATATTGATTTTCTGTAAGTTTTTTTTGATATTTACTGCTTTTATAAAAGTTTGTAAAGAAGGAGACGGTTGTATATACTTCAGAACCTCCATATTAACATAACTCAGAAAAAAGGAAAAGCATTTAGATTTTAGAAATTTCTGATACTTCAATGAATAAAAATATACAGAATTATATAAAAATAAGTAAAATTTGATATCAAGCAAAGAGAAAATTCAGAAAATTCAAAAAATTCAGAAAATTCAGAAAATCCAGAAAATCCATAAAATTCAGAAAATTCAGAAAATTTAAAATGTTTAAAAAAATCAAAAAAATACAAATATATATAGATATATACATATATAAAAAATCATTTTTTTAAATCGTTTTTTCGCAAAAACATGAAATAAATCAAAAGCAAAAAATAAAAAATACACCATACCATACACAGAAAATCTTGAAACACCTAAAAAGTCCACAAAAAATTCTTGAAAATGAAAAACACTTTGTTTAAAAATCATTATGAGAAATGCAAAGATTCCAAACATGTATATAAGTCTTGAAATTTACTTATTTCACAAAGAATTTTTTCAATTATATTATATTTTTTACAGAATTGAAAAATATACGTGAATTCACAAACTCTATAAAAATCAAAAAGTTCATGTTTTTAAGCATGTCAATTTTGGGGTAACCAAGAAACAAAAAGAAAACAGCATGCAACTGAAAGATTCATTTCAGAAAGTTTCCATGTCAGGAAATGATCCTTCCAGAAAGCATCCTTTGCAAGATTTTAACGCTCTATTTTGTTTTTCATATCTTTTGGGCCCCAATCATTGCAAGCAGCTAGGATCGAATATATAGAGTACGACTCGCTGCGTCTCTTTCTTTCATGGCTCCCAAGGCAAAGGCAAAGAGTGCTCCAAAGGATACTTTGCCAACTGATGTGGTGAAGAAACTATGTGGCACTTTGAAGTACCACCAAGAAGAACCAGGAATGAAAGATCTACATGAAGCTTACAAAGCTGGGGATCATGCAAAAAAAAAGACATTCTTCAGAAATTCCTTCAGGACAAGAGCCTCAAGTGGCACTTTGATGTGATTGAGGCCCATACGTTGGTGCACAAAGAACCTTCGGAGACGCAGGTCCAGTGGAAGGCAGCTGCAGCCATCGCAGCTTCCGAAGGTTTGAAGCCGGAGGTGGAGGCCGACAAGACCAAGCTTGACATCCTTTTGGAAGACATGGAGCAGCGGGAGCATCCGAATCCGAAGCTGCGGGATTTGGGAGTTAAGCAATACAAGGAAAAGGTTGAGTTGGCGAAGACAAGCGATGGTCAAGAAAGCAGCACTGCTTTTGTGGGTACCGTCAGTGGCAGGTTGGTGCCAAAGTCAGGAGAAGCCACTGGCAGCAGTACAGACGGGCGGAAGAAGGCGCCCAAGCGCGGTGCGACAGAGGCTGCGCTTGAGGTGAATTGGGCCACTGCCATGAAGCAACAGAAGACAGCTGGTCGCAAGGCGGTTGCAAGCGCAGCAAAGATTTGCAGAGTGGCACACAAGCACCGCGGAGATTGCCCAAACGAGCGTCGAGAGGAGTCGACGCAAGCGATGCGGATGGTTCAAGACGCGGAGTGGGCAATGCGCGATGCAATGAAGAATCTCGAAGATTCCGAAGAAGATTGTCACAAGCTCAAGGACATGGTGACCAAAATGAATGGCAGCGTCGCGATCTTTGAGACCTTGCTGTTCGAGCTTGTTCCGGATTGCAAGCCCGACGAGAAGACCACGGGCGAGGAAAAGATGGAGAAGGCAGAGGAGGATCAGACCGAGAACAAGTAATCTTGTGCAGCGACAGAGCGGATATGATATTATTCTGGAGCGGAATATCCAGAGGTTGCATCACTCTGCTGCGAATGCGGTCGAAAAAAAGTAAAGACGTCTTCTGACAAGAACATTCCCGAAAAGGAAAGATTCTGTAAAGAATAGGCCCTGAAAAGGATCGGTTCTGGCAAGAAGCATTCCCGAAAAGAATCATTCCTGAGAAGGATGATACCTGAAAAGGAAAGTTCCTGTAAAGGATGATTCCTGAAAGGGAAAGTTCCTGTAAAGGATGGTTCCTGAGAAGGAAAGTTCCGAAAAGGATCGATTCTGGAAAGGACAGGTCCTGAAAGGCATAGATTCTTGAAAGAGTTGGTCCTGAACTAAATCCATCAGAACGAACGGTTCCCAAACATTCCTCAAAAAGAGATAAACCGATCAGAATCATACAGGAGTCTATCGTTGGCGAAGAGGATCCTGTCGTTCAAAGCAGATGCAAGCTGATCATGATCCCTGATGCGGCAGTATTTTTCTTTCAAACCACTGGAAGATGAGCCATGGATGCATCAGATTATTTCGATCGTGCGACCCCATGCTTTAGCCGTGGCTGCACTCGCATCGCCTATGGCTTCCATCGCTATTGCTGCTCTGATTGCAAACACTCTCGGAACAGTACTCATGGAAGACGTTGTCTTCAAAGACAACATATGGAGGCAGAACCAGACAACCGACGTGAATTGCAGGAGGACGCCGCAATGCAATCGCAGGTAGAAAATCTGCGTAAGTTACTCGAAGTCTTCTTGCCGTCGCTGTCGTTGGAGAGTCGCAAACGGTGGTTGAAAGATTTAATTAGAACTTTTCATCCTGATCGCAATCCAGAGCTGATCAGCAGTCATGTTTGCACACAGTTGTTAACAGAAACGTTGGAGAAGCAAACTTATGCTTCTGAGTTACTGTATATATCGACTTTACTCGATCAATTCTATGCTGGAGGAACGCTCGCAAAAAAAGCTGTAGTGCCAGAACTCAGTCTACCAAAAGTTATCTTAAAGAAACGTGTTTTCTCAAGAAGGATACCTGATACCTCTTGGACAAGTAATTTCTAAATTGCTTGCGTTCCTCCAAATACTACTTTCTGAAAAGGATATCGTTACTGAAAACGGATTTGTCTTGAAAAAGCAAGTTCCTGAAAAAGGATAACTCTTGAAAAAGATAAATCCTGAAGAGGATAAAGCTTACAAGAGCTACTTCCTGAAAAGGATAAATCTTGGAAAAGATAGTCCTGAAAAAGGATAGCTCTTGAAAAAGATAATTCCTGGAAAGGAAAAAATCTTGACTAGGATAATTCCTGTATCAGATGTCGCTTGAAACGAATCCTAGGAAAGAAAGACCGTAAGACGTTTCCTTTGTATGTCGCCGATGGACTCAGAGTTAGTTTTGCGAATAACCTTCATCTTTCGCATTATTTTCAAGTCGCAAGGTAATGTCTTCATCTTCAAAGAAAGATGGACCGGTGTCCAGACGGTTACGTCTCGCTGCAGCGGATGCTCTCGCGCAACGCGGTGTCCATAGTGGCCATTTCGCTCATGTCTTAGACAGTTTGAAGAAATATGACCGTCTTGACAAGACGTTGTCCACAAGAACGATCAGTGACCAAGCCAAGGCTGACAGTCACGCATGGGTCGAGAAATGGTGTTATGAAATACGGCTGCCTATGGAAGATGGCAGCACTTATGTCTGGACAGTTTCTTCTCCATCTGCTATATTGCAATTTGTCGCGAGTAGCATCAATTCATTTGGGTCCCTTCTATCTCTTCTGCCAATTGGACAAGAGATTCCATTAGCTTTATATCATGATGAGGTTCAACCAGGAAACATCTTAAGCCCCGATCAAAGAAGAAAGACGATGGCTTTATATTTTTCTTTGCTGCCTTGGAAATCTCTCTTTGGGTCAGAATACATCTGGTTTCCAGTCGCAGTTCTTCGAACGGAAGTTTACAATCTGTGATAGGAGGCTTTAGCGCTTGCATGAAAGTGTTGCTACAATCGTGGCAAAGCTCTCTTCCTGGTTTGCTACTTTGTGGTAAACGCCACCCACTTCGCTGCATCGTTGCCGACGAAGCCGCGATCGTTGCCATGTGGGGCTTCAAAGGGGCAGCAGGTCGAAAACCGTGTGGTTTTTGTGTCTCGCTGATTTCCAAAGCAACCTCGGCATCATTGCGAGCCTCTGGAAACGAAACTGCATTTTCATGGCTTGTCAGAGCCAAACATTCGAGCCTTTACTTCTTTCAGTGACGAAAACTTTTGGCAGGCAGTGGATCACCTACGTGAGTTCATCGGTGCAACCACCAAAAAAAAATCCGAACGAGAAAAAAATTGGGCATTACCTTCAACCCTGGTGGCTTAGCAGCTGAAGTCTCTTTACGAGAATGCGTTTATCCGTCGATGACTTTGTTTGATGTGCTCCACACATACTTTAACGGTGGGATCGTATCTGTTTAGGTTGGCCTGTTTTTGACTCACTTGGAAAGCTTTGGGATCGCCAAAGCAGAAGCCGCAGCAGCATTGCTGGCGCCAATTTTGTCTTCATCCGCAACGGCATACAAGAACCGCAGTCGTCTCTTGGATGATGGCTATTTCACAGAGGGTAACTGTTGGCGAGCTTCTGGATCGGAACAAATGGACGCAATGCCGCTGTTCCACTATTGGCTAGAGATAGAACTGCTTCCGTTGCATCCGGAACTTGGCCAAACGGATTGGGCCAAATCCTTTCAGCAATTGTGTGAGAGATGCTATTTCTTGCACGTGCTCAGCCAACGATCAATTCCGCAAACTGCTGGAGGCGAAACAGAAAACTCATCACGCTTGTTTTGCCAAAGCATATGGCGAAAATGCAATGAAGCCAAAGCATCACTTTTCGTTACACATTCCCGTGCAGTTTGAAAAGATGCAAGTCTGCATGGATACCAAAACTTGCGAAAGGAAACATCGTGCATTGAAAGCCGAAGTTGAAGCAACAATGCAAAATTTGCAGAAATTTGAGAATCGCTTGCTGTTCAAATTGCTGACAACGCAAGTGTCCGAGATGAATCAAAAGCCAGCGAATTTTTGGCAAACTTCCCTTGTGGCACCCGTGTTCAAAAACGGTTTGTGGACTGCAAACGCCCTCCAGGTTTCCAACATCAGAAAGACACGCCTTTGATCAGCTCAGACTTGCAATGGGCCGGATACTCGCAAGATGTACTTCAAGAAGATGCCCGGATCTCCCTTTCAGTTCAAATCTGCCAGTTCAAAGAAAGAAAAACGTCAGGAATCTATGTGTGGTCTGTCACATCAGGGATCCGAAAGAGTCCCTGGCAGGAAAATCTGTGCATCACGCCGGGACATTGGCGTCGTCACTTCGACACGTTGTGGACGGTATGGTAATTTCCTGTCTAATATAGCAATTATCTCCTCTTAAACAAAAAGCTTGACAAAAAAAAAAGAAAAATCGCCAAATCTTTTCTGAATCGAAACAGTCTTGGGGAAAACCTGTCCTGAAAAGGATAATTCCTGAAAAGGATCGTTCCTGAAAAGGATTGACTCCGAAACGAGTAAGTCCTACAAAGGATAGTTCCTGAAAAGGATGATTCCTGAAGAGGAAAAATCCTGTAAAGGATCATCCCTGAAAAGGAAGTTCTTCGATCGGCAAATACCTTAACACAGGATAAAATATTCAACAAAAAACTATAGTCAACGTATAAATCTTCGAGTGCATTGTTCCTATTTTCAAAATGTGTGTAAAGAAAAAACATTCGTCTAGTACCCGTTCTTAACCTTTAAAAAATTTAAAAGAAATAAGTGAAAAAAGTGAAAATAAGTAAAAATAAGTTAAAATAAGTTCTATGATAAGTTCTATGATAAGTTCAAATAAGTACTAATATTTCCATTAAGTGCCTAAAGTGAAAATATCTTCCATTAGTGGTCTCAGTAGACGACGCACTCTGGCCACAGGCCTTTGTTCTCAGAGCCTTGCAGCCTGCCGTTTGCCTCCATGGCCCTCTGTTCTTCGGGGTTAAGCCTGCCGTTTGCCAACCGTCAAAGGCTTAAAATCCTCCGCGACAGCTTCGACTACGCGCTCTGGCCACAGGCCTTTGTTCTTCGAGCCTTGCAGCCTGCCGTTTGCCTCCATGGCCCTCTGTTCTTAAGGCGTTCAAGCCTGCGGTTTGCCAGCCGTCAAAGGCTTAAAATCCTCCGCGGCAGCTTCGACCAGGCACTCTGGCCACAGGCCTTTGTTCTTCGAGCCTTGCAGCCTGCCGTTTGCCTCCATGGCCCTCTGTTCTTAGGGCGTTCAAGCCTGCCGTTCTCCAGCCGTCAAAGGCTTAAAATCCTCCGCGGCAGCTTCGACCACGCACTCTAGTGACAGGCCTTTGTTCTTAGAGCCTTGCAGCCTGCCGTGGCAGCTTCGACCAGGAACTTTGGCCACAGGCCTTTGTTCTTGCCGCCTTGCAGCCTGCCCTTTGCCCCCATGGCCCTCTGTTCTTAAGGGTTCAAGCGTGTCGTTAAAATCATTTACAAAGAACGCGATGAGAATAAACATACCAGGTATTTGATTTTCTAAGGGCTCCCACATGTGGAACCCCCAGGAGTTCCATTTTCTAAAGGTCCTCTGGGTGGAGAGCGCCTAACACGTGTAGAAAAAACCACCTAATATGTGTCGAAACAGATGCCTGTTTCGTGGCCTCCCCCGCCCATTGATTTAATAGGGGAAAATCCATGGGGGATGGTTGGATTGAGGTCGTGAGGCTATGGCAAAATCCAAGGTAGGGCTAGAATATGCCAAAATCGTCCGCTCCGGCTCGGCGGCTTCAGTCCATTCAAATGCTCGAAAAGGGATTGTGGAAGATTGCCTCTCTAGAAAATCAAGGACCACTAGAAAATTTATGAACGTACTCCCAAAAATGCTAAAATTATGCTTCAGGATTTTGGGCGCCTAAACCCTCCAGAAAATCAGCATCTTACGACTCAGAGGTCTCCAAAAG